TAACTTATTCTCTCAGTATCTGCTGTCCAAAAAAAAAGAAGGATGCCTGGAATATCCATTTCTCATTTTTCTTTTTGTAAATTACTCCCGACGACTTCAATTAAAAAGAAGAAAAAAAAAGCTCGTTGGTGGCATCCAGCCGAGCCAGCAGTAATAATGTGAGCGGTGGGCCATGCAGGCAATAACGTGGACTTCGTAATCAGCCCGGCGGGTGTTTTTATAATTTCTTGGTTGGATGAGCCAGGTGCGTACATGCTGCAACCGTTGCAGAGACAGCGGCCATTCATTCTGCAATGTTTTGAGACTGAGTAAAGTGTATCAACTCCAAAAATAGTATCAACTCCAAAAAAACTCTATATTACGCCACAAAGAAATAAAAAAGTTTCTTGTCTGGGATTTCTGAATAAGGGAGGAGGCCCCCCCCCCCTTTTTTTTTCAAGATGGTAGATTTTCCAAGATAGATTGTTCCCATTGTCTTGACTTTTTACTGATACTTTAATCTCAAAATGATCCGCAAAGCCTTAAAACAGGTTCTAAACTTGCATTCAAAGCTGTAATTTTGCTGAAAGGCCCTATCAATGGTGAAACCTTGTGCGCGCTACCAATGCCCCTGGACGGATTATCTGAGCAATAGCTAGCACAATGCATTGGCCATGGAAGGGGGCCTTCGTGACAGAATTGATTGCGTGCCCAGATTGGTCTATACATGATCATGTACATGCATATGTAGGTTTGAATTACACTTTAGCTTTAAATCTTCAACGCTTGCACTACAGAAATTTTCTAAGTTACGTTATGAATGTTGTGTACATGTACATGTATATGTACCCACGTGCTCAAAATGAGGATATATCCTGTACCAAATGTAATTTATTCCGCATTGGTTCCTGGTCGAATTCATTCATTGTTTTAAATGGATTCATGATTCGTACGTGGATAAGAGCTAACGTTTGATAAGTGGGGCGAGCGGGGGAATTTCTCAGTCTACCAGCAAAAACAATAAATAAATATGTACTGTAATTATCTGTCAACCACACAAACTATATTTGAAATATGAATTAGTTTCAAATGAATTCTTTTTAGTGGGCAATTTATTACTTTTAGGTCAAGGAACTTACGCATAAAATATCATTTTCTGCGCAGTTTCAAAAGATCCGGATACAATTTACTGCAAATGGTTTAACACATACACAGGGTGGGGCAGAAAGAAGAAAACCCACTTTTGACGGCAATTTTTGGCTACTTTTTGTGCATATTTCAAAAATTCATTTAAAATTTTCTCTTTTATACATAAGTGACGAAAAAATGCTTGCAAATGCATATTTTGTCTCTGAGATATGGTAGTTTAAAAAGTTTATGTGCAAATCCTGTTTGTCAACGGACAGCTTTATTCTATCCGCTTGACTGAGCTCCGGAGCTTGATTTGAAGGCAAAAAACACTACACGAGACTTACACGTGGCATGTGGACAACAGTGATTTTGGTGACTTGTATTCAAATTAGAATAATAACACTATTCTTGCGATTTTTTAAAAGATTTCACCACGTATGGTTGAAGAGCTATACTTCACTACATTATAAAATAAAAGAGTTCAAATAAGTTAAGTAGGTTAAAAGTCAAAAGTCAAAAGTGGGTTTCCTTCTTTTTGTACCACCCTGTATACATGTATAACTGAGCACACTAAAGTCTACATGTACTTATAAATGCAAATTGTAATCTTGGACAATACAGTACGTGGGCATTCTCTCAGTCATCGCAATAATTCAAAGTTTTTGTCATGGTTCGCAGTCACCTTACACAACAAGCCACCGTGACCAGATTCACTGTTGCGAACACGGCTAAAGAGACTGCCGCAAAAAAAAAATCTTATTTCCATGTCTTCTGAAGTCGTAGGGACTCAGTGACGGCAAAAAGCTAACAAGGGGCCTTGAGCTTGAAGGAGAGACACTCATTAGTAGAGACAGCCGAGCGCTCGGGCGTGGTAGATTAAGGGGAGGAAAAGCACTGAAGTGCGAAGAGGCAAAGGAGCGAGTCTGCGTCAAAACTTCACACTCGGGTGACGGTTGTGATCATCTTCGAAATCCAGATTTGAAATCCGAGAAACTGATACACGTGTAGTGTATACATGTACACGTACATGTACCGGTACATGTTCATAAGATGAAGATGGTTTAGGATTGACATGTAGGTTTGGGAGGGGCCAGGGAAAGCATATAGTTGGGCAGATAGGGGAAATATTTGGGGGAATTGTGCCTTTGATGATACAAGCATGGCATTTGGCACACAGTCAGAGTATATCTTAAGAAAGATATTTGGCCATAGGGCCATCGCAGATTTGTTCTCTAAAAAAATAAAGGTAGGATAACAAGCAATTTTCTAAATTTTCAAAATGGCTGCCATTGCTTGTTATTCTACCTATATTTTTTTTAAAGGACAAATCTGCGATGGCCCTATAGCCAAATATCTTTCTCATGACATATTCGGACTGTGTGCCAAATGTCATGCTTGCATCATCACAAGGCACAATCCCATCACCTATCTGCCACACTAATATGGTCAGGGAAAGGTCCAATGATGCATCGACTAATTAGAGAAGTAATTTTCTTTTATTAGGAGACCTGGAAATAAGTTGAGGGAAATGAAACGGGTTTTGTATGCAGGTCAACCAGTAAGCATCGTGTAAAATATGGTCCAGGAAATAGTAAATTTGAAGAGCCTAAGGTTTTACTAAATATTATAATTGCTTTATTTTTAAAAAAGGAGAAAAATGCTTTTTGCAGATGGTTATAACTTGTTGAAAATGAAGGAAAATTGAATAAGATATTTTTCATTGCTTTAGCAACTGACTTGTTCACGCAAGGCGGAATATTCATTCAATTGTATTCATTCAAATGTTTACTGTATATTGTTTGTTTTTATTACAGGATAATGGTTTAAATCATGCTTTTACAGTGTTGAGAGAGAAAGGAAAACTGTATTATCCTACTTTTTATTTATGTAAATTGTGAATGTTGATCCACAAAAGGGATATCTATAAAACAGACGATGTGCCAATGTTTATATTGGCCGAGCATTAAGGAAATTGCTGAGTGAGAATCAACATTGATACACGTCCGTCGGGAAGACAAAGGCGACGTGAGTGTTGTCATTTGTTGGACGTCTCTTCCCTTTTCCGTAAATTGATAGAACTGATATTGTCCCCAAAGTTATTTCTTCAGGACCATTCATAACAGTGCAACCCGGATCATGTTCAAAATGTTTCCTGGTTTAAGACTTAAAAAAAAAAAACTATATCGGTACATTGGGGGTCATCTTGGGGGTCATCTAGCTTTTAAGGGAAACTTGGAAAAGTCTTGGAAAGAATGTTGCATCCTGACACATCTTTCATCATCATCTCAAGGAAGGTCAGTCATTGCAAAAAAGTTGAAAAACCACATGAATCTGGGACTGAGAAACATTTCCAATTTTGTTATGAAATAATTTGAAAATGTTCTGGACTCTCCATAGACTTTGTACACAACCGCTGAAGTGGCGTCTGGATACTACATTCTTTCCAAAGTCTTTCATGAGCACTAGGTAAACAATTCTTGAAACATTTGAGTTCAAGTAAAAAAGGTGTTCTGACCACTGATATCTCTTGTTTCTGAAATTAGCCCACAGTGGCCAACTTAAGATGTAAATTAAGATGTCAAATGTAAATTAGTGGCCACCAGTCCATAATGGCCAACTGAATTTAGTGGCCACCAGCCCATAGTGGCCAACCGAAACTAGTGGTCACCAGTCCACATTGGCCAACGGAATTTAGTGGCCACAAGTGCACATTGGCCAACTGAAGTTAGTGGTCACCAGCCCACATTGGCCAACTGAATTTGGTGGCCACCAGTCCACATTGGTCAACTGAAATTAGTGGCCACCAGCCCACATTGGTCAATTGAAATGTGTGGCCACCAGCCCACATTGGCCAACTGAAATTAGTGGCTACCAGCCCACATTGGCTAATTGAAATTAGTGGCCAACATCCCCCAGTGGCTAATTGAAATAAGTGGCCACCAGCTCACAGTGGCCAACTGAATTCAGAGGCCACAAGTCCACATTCGCCAACTGAAATTAATGACCACCATCCCACAGTGGCCAACTGAAATTAGTGCTCACCAGCCCACAGTGGCCAATTCAAATTATCGGCCAAAATCCCACAGTGGCCAATTGAAATAAGTGGCCAATTGAAATAAGTGTCCACCAGCTCATAGTGGCCAATTGAAATAAATGGCCACCAACTCACAGAGGCCACCTGTAAATTAGTGGTCACCTGCCCACAACGGCCAAATGGCAAATGAAGTTTTAACTCTTGATCTTAACACAAACATTTCAGATACGGAAAATTTGTGTTGAGAACAGTCTAATACTTCACTAGAGGCTATACTCCATTAGCTTATTACCGTACGGTATGACCCCACAATGTAGCAGGGGTGAACGATTCAAACATTTAGGAAAGGCAATTCGATAATAAGAAAGTTTGACATTATTTCTATGAGCCAATAAATGAAATGCCTGCAGTTTGTTATATGTTCCCCCATAAGGACACCTCATTAGAAGGAGTGCTGTGGAAAGAAAAACAAAAACTTGACAAAAACGACGACAACAACAAAATTGTTAGCATGTGATATTAAAAATCATTATGACATGGGCAAACAGAACAAAATGTGGGGTTTTTTGTTGTTGTTGAGAACACACATGAAATCTTTGCATGCCAGTGGTAATAAATACAGCAACTATGGATAATACGGCCATGGAACATGAAACAAGCAAAAATTATAAATATCAGTCACATCGGATGAGTTTCATTTACAAGTAGAGCAATTTTGGCAAGGCGAAAAAGGGGTTGGTGGGAGGGAGGGGCAGGGAGGGTCTACATAGCAAATGAGACCCTAATATACAGACAGGGTCTATAAGAGTTGGAGGGGCCGGGGTGGGGTGGAAAAAAGAGGAAAATCCCAGATTACCTTTTTGGCATCGTTAATAGGTGAATCGCCTCCGCCGAAGTTGGAGGCGACAAGGGGATTAGTGGCTGTGCCGTTGGCTGTGAACAACTCGTCAGAGCCCCGCTGATGGTGGACGAAGGAATGAACGAGCGAGTGTGTAACGAACGAGCGTACGCACGTACAGACCAAGGTGAAGAAGGAACCGAGAAGAGAAATCAAAAAAGAAACAAAAAGTGGAGAGAAAAAAAAAATGCGGCAAGTCAGAAAAAAGGGAAGTACAGATGGTGATAAGAAGATGGTTAAAAACGGACATGCAAATGGACCTCTCCCAAACATTAATTTATTCGGGGTTTTTTGGGGGTTCAAAGCAACACAGGTGAAACATGGCAACATGTTAATCGGTAAACAAAATCTCATTCCCGTTATAATTTTGGAAAAGCCTGTATTAATCAAATGTACACCGTATAATAAATATACTTACTTTCAAAAAGTACAATATAAAAACCTGTGCATTCATGTTTCCAGAAAGAAAATGCGATAAACCTTTCTTCTTGCTGAACTGTTTTTCTTGTTATAAATTATGTAAATTAACAATTTAAAAAAAAAAAGCACTTGCATGTCTCTCATTGTACCGGTATGCAAATGGCACTGATCACCAGTGTAGGCACATTTAAATCAATCCAAAAGGGCTCCACAAATGCGCAAAAATAGTACAAATGTAGTACAAATTACTGACATTTTAAAGAATGTCGACCAAAAATTCAGAGTACATGTAGATGCATGATTTTTGTTGGGTGCCAAATTTTTTTAATTTTTTTTTGTATTTCTTTTCCTCTCTATTTGGTAAACATTTGGGAAAGGTCCATTTTAAATGTAAGAATATTATAAGCAAAAGAAAACAGTTGAATAATAGTTTGAATTCAGGGTACCATAACCAATTCTAATGAAAAAAAGTACATAAATACAACCTACATGTAAGAACCAACTGCATATCAAACTACATGTACTGTAATAATGCAAACATTCTTTATAAAAAAAAATTAAAAAGAGGGCATAATAAATGATTATTTCTAACAAGATGTTACAAGTATTATCATCCTCCCACACAAGCACCCCTCTAGAAGCAATGAAATGTCCCAGCCAAAGCATGATTTCCTATGGGAGGGGGAAGCGAAAATGTGCAACCAGCAGGGGTGTGTGAGTATAAAACACAAAAAGTACACACACACACACATATTTAATGTTGTACTTGTAGTAAAAAAAAGGCAAGGGAGATTTTGCAGTGATGAACAGAATTGACCATTCGTAATTGATTCACACAAACAAAACATGCAAAGTAAAAAAGCAGCCTCTATAAATCGTGCAATGAGTGATGTTATTCAGACAGATACGGTAGTTGGGTGGAAATTACAAAGGGGGCCTACATGTACATGTACTTTCATTGTTAACTTTAAAACACCTTTTCCCTCCAAAAAAAAGTTTTAAGAACCACTTCTTCTTTAACCACGGTTTAGGCAGTAGTAGACAATATTCAGGCATGTTTTAGTCTACTCATTAACTTTTTTGGGCCAAATGATAGTAACAAAGCCACATGTACAATGTGCGACACATGTACATTGCACATGTACCGGTATGCACTGTTTACTACACCATAGGCAAGTGGTTTTAATACAATGTTTATTAAATTTATAACTTTTATATACACTGTGTAAATTGTATACACCATACTTGTACACCTACAAGGTAAGCAACAACTCTACAAGGTAAGCAACAACTTGGGGACTCAGCAATATAAAAAAAAAATAATTTGCCAAATTGATTTAGAAACAGTATTCCACTTTGAGGCGGAGTGTGGCCAAGTGGTTAGGATTCGCAACTGATTATCAGAGGGTCAGAGGTTTGAATCCAGCTGCTGGCCTTATGCTGTGTCCTTGGGCAAGCCACTTCACCCCTGCCTCTCCCCAGCCAACAGTATAAATGGGTACCAGCAGTCAGCCAGGGCCCAATTTAATAGCGCTGCTTAACAGCCGACTTTGTGCTTATCGAGCCTCCATCTGTTTCATAGGGACCGTTAAGCAGTAAGCACAGCAAAAGCACGCTTAACCCCTGAAGAAAACTTTGCTTAAATCAGTGACGTAACAATAGAAATCTCCATGCGGCGCAACCATTAGCATGAAATAGTGCTTAAAGCAGCAGCATGATTTTCTGCTATAGTAAGCACAACTATTCTGCTTACTGTTAAGCAGTGCTATGAAATTGGGCCCAGGTACGCACTCTACATGTATCGGGTCGATGTGTAATGGGCAATGGGCAGAAGCTCACGGGGAAAAACAGATACATTTATAACAACGGAATCGACAACAAATGCCAATACAGGATCGCATGGTGAGCACCAAATGGGGCAATTAATAACAAGTTGTTATTGAGCGGTTGCAGGCACTGTTCCAAAGTGAAAACATTGGCGTATGGTGAAAAAAAATTGTAACCAGCAAAGTGGGATCCAAAATAAATTTGTTAAGTGAACATTGAACAGCTAAATAATTGTACGGAAAAAAAAAATAGGAAGGAGATGTTCATACCATATCCTTTTTATAGCTCCATGTTCATACCATGGAGCTGTCTTTTATAGCTCATTGTTCATACACATGCACACAGACGTATGCGATTGTTGAATGTTTGAGTTTGTTTCTGCATTCAATAGGGGACATTAAACAATGGAGGACAGTAGGGTCCCCAATTCCCGAGAGGTCCCCAATTTGGATTCGTGTACAAAACATATGGAAGGTCTTCCTAAAAAGTTCAAACAAAAGAGGGACAATAGGGGGTCCCCGATTGCAGACAAATACACACTTGTATGGCTGTGTTCATTATACTAGTACCGGTAGTTTGTCCATAGATGTAGCTAAGCTCTAGCTCTTCTCAATCCTGCAAAATCCTCCAAAATGCAAAAAGGATTTCGAACGTTCTGGGGGTTTATGGCTGTGATAAGATGTACAAATGTAATGTATTGTAAGTGTACACAAGACATGTATGTGTAGACGATGATGACTAACTGCATTGTGTCATTTGCGCATAACTGATGAGCAGATGTAGTGATTTCATTAGACCGTAATGTCAACAACCACAGAGGTTGGTTGCAACTTGCAAGCATGTTGGGCAACTTGTCAACATGAGGTTTTGTCACGAAATCGTCGACGGTACACGTTTGGACTGTTTTGCGACAACCGAACCTGGCAGCCGTCCGGGGCAACAGATGCAGCGCAGTGTGGCACTCTGGTTATACTGCCAGCTGATTCAATAGAGACAACGAGTTCTATTACGCCTACCAGGACGTAATTCAATTAAATGTAAATGGCCTGCCCGGCGAGCCGGAGTCAAGTTTGCTCTTTACGGTGATACTGCATAGCTTTCCTTGGTCTATGCTTGGATATTGTACCAATTATGTACAAATACCGTACTGAACACACAGTGTTTCAGTGTCTTCCCAGGATTTTAGGAGGCAGTTCTGGTAATTTTATGCCACCACACTTACGTTTTGCCAACCTGCTGATCGTTTTGCTGTCTTGCTGATTATTTTTTAAAGATTTTTATTTAACACCATTATATGCAACACTTAAGTTAACATCGAACTAGGCCTTTTCACACTACAGACCTTTATCATGCTTCCACCATTGTAGTCATGTTCCCTGTATCCAATAACAGTACTGAATGATAATGTTTTTGTGCAAAAAGGAACCAGACTATTTTTCCTTCCAGCTTCGCTTTGGTTACATTGATCTGAATGGGACAAAATCAAATGGCTGCAACATCATAATGGTCTATTGTTTCACCTACATTATATGTACACATGTTGAAGTCAACATGGGTCCGTCGTGAGTGGAACTGAGGTCCCAACAAACGCGGGCAGGCAAGGCAATACCATTCACAATTTACGCTTTGTACACAAGTCGGAAGTACATTGTCTACCTGGGTATACTGCATCTCCACCTAGTCCTGACCAGGGTTGACCATGATTTTACCCATGGAGAGAGCTGGACCCCTGTAGAAACCGTATTGGATTCTTGCTAGTGTGAAAGGGATTCCTGAAATCTCCACGTTGGACCCAGGGTCCATCACAAGAGGTTTTGGATAGTGTGAAAGGCCCTTATAATCTGACAGATTCATAATACATACAATACATTATGTGAAACATTATGACAAAGGTCCAGTACATGCCACCGGTACATACCGGTACATACCGGTATGTTCCGGTACCTGGCAATACAGTGAAATCTTGATAAGTCGAAACCTGCCAATTCGAAAACCGTTCTAACTCAAAGTAAGAACTTATTCCAGTCAATGGTTGTTGCAAAGGAAATCCATTTGCTAACTCAAAACTCTGCTTAACTTAAAACTCTGCTTAACTCAAAATTTGAACCCATTCCCCTGAGGTTTGACTTATTGAGATTTCACTTATATGGATTAGTCATGGAGTTTGAAGGATCCAAAAAGCTCACTTGTAAAAATGCGTAGGCAGTTAAGGTTGAATCAAACGTTCTCAAAAACAGAAACAAGTCTTCTTATTCCTATTTCCTTCCAATCTTTCACAAAGATGCTACAGTTAAGGATTTGTTATACATGTAATACTCCAATCAGCTAGGCTACAGTTACAGGACAGTGCATAAATCAAATCCCTTTCAGTTCACACAGGCCTAGTATAATCCTGCTCACACAATCAAGACTAAATATAAGTATGAAGGACATACACAAGTGTATTCAACTCAAGCCTCACCCAAATCCCTTTGGTAAAATCCCCACATTCTTCCCGCCAAAATCTCCCAAGAAAAAAAGAAAAGAAAACAAATCCCATCCCCCTCTTCAAATTGCCTTTGAAAGGGTCTCCTTGAGTTATGGCAACGCTCCATATATTTGCGGATCCCTATAGCTACCGTAGGGACGTACCTCAGACTGGAGAGCTGGGCAAACATTTAAGCCACCACTCTCGGGCCCGACCGGTTGAAAAGACTCCGAGGGATTTTTAATTTGATTTGGATAACTCCGGGGGAAACACACCGCAACGTCTCTCAAGTCGCTGATTAGAGGCAGAGTGATGTTCGGTTCGGGAAGACCTTCACATCCGGAGA